AGGTGGTGGAGCTTACGGAGGCAAATTTTATAGTGGAAGAGTCGCGGGCAGTACCGGCTGACTTAGACTTAGAGACCAAGAGGAATTGCCGAGAGGAAGCCAGCTGAAGCCTGGAAAGATTATTAGGTTGGGTGTTCAGAATTATGTTCATCCCCTGCCACCGGCAGTGCAGGTACAAAGGCTTCATACACCAAAGCGTCGTGCAACCCAAGTCCAGGTGTGCAAGTCCTCGGACCCTGGTTGAAATCTCTCAAAATGCTCCCAAAAATCTTCTCTATAGCTCCCGCACAGCCCTAGGGCCTAGGGTTTTTAGCAAACCCCTTTATGAAGAAAACAAAGGTCTTCTTCTGAACACCGTCGGTCCTTCAGCGCCAGGCTTGGCCGGTGCAACAAACGATTCCTGAGTGGGGGATGACAGATTTGAGCTTCATTGTTATAGGGTAGCGGATCTGAGAGCCGCTTGAGTGAGCTTTGGGGGACTTAGAGCGAAAGCCGTATGATGGAGCACACGGCATGATGCTTTGGAATCAGCGACTGGAGTAGTTTTGGATTTTGGGGCTTGCTGGTTCGGGCTTCAAGTTTTGGGCTTGGAGTCTGCGATTATAGGTTATGGGTCTATGGCTCAGGGCTCGGGCTTGGGATATAGCGTTCCATGTCCGCATCACATGTATCACTTCCATACCCCTCATGCCAAAAGTTCCAAAGCTTAAGACGCCAACATGAACAAACAATACCGCTGATTCAGAGGGCAGTGGAGCTACTCACATTGGGTGCACCTTTGCGAACCATCATCCCACTTCTGGCAGCGTATCCACGGTACAAAGAATTCACCAGACACGATTGCTTATGTCGGCAGTCCACCAGATACACAAATCTTTGAGAAACATTGGGCTGTGCCAAACTGGGCACCCCTAAGAACAAGATCAGTAAATGTGGGCTCTGAGCGGAGATTGGAGGCGTACCCCTCCAAGGACCCGTTTGGGAACCATGCTTAAAGCTCTCAAACATCCCAAACACGGCATCACATAAGCATTCAGGAGGATGGAAGGGCTTCGCATGGCTTTGCCATGCGTATCAGGCTGTGTTCCAGCTGCTGACACTCATCTGGGGATTCCCAGCAGAAACCAAAATGTCAGGACCTGTAGCATCATATTCTGAGGGAAGCCGCCAAGGAGGTTGAGGAGGATCAAATTGGTACCACTTCAAACACCCTAAACCTGGCGACTGAAACCCACAAGTACAATTTGCCATTTATACAAAACAGTACAATGGATATGTTGCTTGTTGGGGAGATATTGCACAGTGGAGATGAAAAGAAACCCAAACTCCTAAAACCTAAATCGTTTCGACTTGACAGAAAGGTTCAGCTGCTTCCGCGCGCTCCGCACATCCTTAGACGGTACCAAACTCTGCTCAAGCTGCTGAAACCTTGGCTTCTCCAGAGGTGCATGCATCAGGCTTCTTATGCTGGCAACCTGAAAATGATGTAGGGACCTGAACAACTCGAACTGATTTTTTGGAGAGGCATGTGAAATAAGACGTCAGCAGCAACGTAGATTCCAACTTTGCATGACTGTCACTGTCTTCCTTCCTTGCAAGCCGATTCACTTGTTTTAAGAAAGATCTAAGGACCTTAGCTGTAAGTGTTTCTACACTCCAACATACGCTATGCTTAGTAGGGAAGCCGGAAATCAGTTACAAGGGTGACAACAGGGCTTTGTAAGGAGTATGATGGGGATCAAGAGGATGCGGGTTGCGTAAGCTTCTCACAGTCCGGCATGCTCGTAGCCATGCACAAAACTTCAGACTTGGAAACCTGCTTTGCTGATGTTCCTACGGACAAGCTCCGCAAAAGCACAATAAGAATGATCTTGCGGGCATATAAGGGGACACTTTTGGCTGTATCTACGAAGAAAGAACTATGGATAGTTCCAGGTCTATGCCAGTCGATGGAACTACCATCGAAGCAAGCTCATTTGAATCTACAGCAGGGTGACTGACACTCCGAAAAGGACAGCTACGAAGTGTATGACTTTGCTGCACCTGCGAACGGTAAAGTGTGGAAGCAGCAGTCCAAGTTCCGCCTGTTTTCAGAGATCAGCCGTCACAAAAATGTGTAGGAGCCCATGTGTCAAACTTGCTTATGCCCCCATCATATAAACAACTTCCATCCATGGCACTTAGCGTGGGCCTCGTGAGCAGTGGCGGTTTTGGGGATTCATGTCGAAGGTTTGGGGCGACACGTTTTGGGTATAGGTTGGGGGTTTCGTGGTGTGGAGCAAGACCCCTTGATTCAGCGTTTAGCTCTTTCATCATAATGGCTGTGGGGCCCTTGCGGAAGTTTATGGGCATCTAGCAAGGTTGGGCAGAGTTGTTGCAAGAGCCGAGGCGTGCCTAGCGAGTTCATGAAAAGACATGAGAAGGCTGGACAGTTAAAACCTTGGATCTCGCACACGATTTCAATCACGGAAGTGATACGAATCCTGGAGCACTGCTGCTGGTGCGCAACGGTGGGATTGAGGGCCTCCATGGGCATGTGCCACCAAAAATGTCTGTCGAGGGACTTGAAAACTAGGGATCGCGCAGACACCCGCAAAATAAAATGATGGAAGCTCGAATCCAAGCTGAGCCTGTCTGAAACCTTACACCCAGTAAACCTGAACACAGAACTTTCGAACTCCAAGACATACACTCTACACCCCAGGACGAATTGTAATTCCCTTGCGGACGAAACCAACGAATTCTATTTCCTCCGTATGGCAGATCAGAACTCGAAGGCACTGGAAACTTACTGTCCCTGGAGGACACCAGTGCCCTGGCTTAAATGTGCACTCATATGTTCCGTAGACAAGGTTGCTTCAGTCTAGACATCCTACAGAAACTTTTCATGACTCCGCCCTAAACGATGAATATTAACCCCTGAACCCCAAACCATCTCGCCCACAAAACCAACCCCTACTCACCATCCTATGCGTTCTCCGAATCCCCAACCCTAATTAGACCCCAAGACCCTCTACCCTAAACCCCAAACTCAATACCCCTTACTGCAACCCGTAACGTAACCTCTAACCTCTCAACGCAAATCCCTAGACTCCTAAACCCCAAACTTCTCAACCCCTAAAGCCCCAAACCTGCTAACCCACAAAATCTACAAAATCTACATCCATACACTCTAAATCCAGCATACTCCTAACCATGCACAGAAATCTCGCAGCGCCTGCGCTCTGAGCTGTGCAACCCGACCGGCATTGCGGAAGCCTCGGATGCTCGGGCTTGTACTAGAGGCCTTTGAGGGTTGGTTCATAACATCCCACAGAAACTTGTCAAGATGGGCCTCCAGACTTCCATGAGAATACCAAGATTTCCAGGGTTCCCATTAGCCACCACTTGATTCCGCAAAAAAGTCTGCAAAGACAATAACTCATCCGTTTGAAGCCCTACAACACTGCAACATCCAAATCAGGCTGTGTGATCGCCCTGGTTAAGATCCTTGACACCTTCAGCTTGACAATGCTCTCGATTGCATTCCCTGCGATCTACGGCCTTTTTCCGCACATTCTAAGCTATGAAGCCTAAGCCTTGCGCTTCCAGCTCTAACCCCTTTAGGCCCCAAACCCTGAGCCCCACGTTCTACAGTAAGGCAGTGAGCTTTGGAGGACAGGGATTGGCTCGCTTGCGTTGGTTTCGGTCTGCAGCCGAAAGCCGCCCCTTTAAAACAAACTCCGGAACATGCAGGCTCACCCCTTGTCTCCCACTTCCGGAATTCTACAGCTTGTTTGTCTTGGCTTTGGCGTGGTACAGTTTAAGATCGATTTGGTGAGGAGGTTGGCACACTTGCTGCCCCAACAATAGACAAGGGGTGGCAAAAAGATGCTCACCAGCCAGAATGGCATGAGGCCGCTTGTGCCCCTGAGGCCAGAACACCGAATTGTTCAGGACTGGCGTTTCAAACAAAGTACTCAAGGAAACAGGCGGTTCTGGAGTGCCTTGCTGCTTCGCAGGAAACATGCCTCGCATGCTCAAAGTCTATGCCCAACACCCTGAGATCCACGCAACCGAAACCCACCAAATCTCAAACCTGGCACAGTCATTGTCTTCTCCCCATGGAAGGACCAGAACATCCTGCACAACCCTGTCAGAACAGCAACTGCTAAAGACCAAGAGACCACGGAGTTTGGCGGCACATTTCTCTACGCAGGGGGCAAGGATGGTCCTGACTATGTAGAGCCGCGGCTTGCAAAGGCATGGCAAAAGTATTCTTGTGGAGAATGCAGGGGATACTTGATAATAATATCAGTTATGATAACGGTGATGATACTGATATAGTGACACGAATAACAATAACAGCAATAATAACAATAACAACAACCAATTTAGCAAGCCCTGGAAGCCCAGGTACCTAAATGTTAGGTTCCCGGATTGAAATACGACAACTTTAAGTAGGGATGCAAAGACAGCAACGCGTTACGTAGGCAACTGGATGTATAGTGAAGATCAGAGAAACAGGCACCTACTGTTGCTTTTGTGGTTCAAGGCAAAGGCTCCAGGCTAGTGAAATTCAGTTTAAGAGATTCGGTTGATGGGTTAAGGTTGTTTGGAATTTAGGGTTTAGAGTTTAGGGTCAAGGCTCCGGGGCTTGGGATTTAGGGCCGACACTGACTCCAGGCCCCGGGTTGCCCTCTTGGACCAAGACCTTCTTTCCTCGAAGCCTTCTCCCATCTTTTCGCGGAGCAGCTTGAAAACATTGGCAGATTTGATGCATCAATTTCAAAATATGCCTTTGGACCTCAACAAGTCATGTTGTCAAACCTAGACCTGGATGGCACCGTGAACCCGTGTTTGAACTGCGATGTTCACATCCCGTCAACCCCAAGCACGCAAACCCAATCTCAACTCTCAAGCTACATGCACTAAAATACAATGATTCCTAGGTATACGAGGATTCTGAACATCATCAGAAACAGTAATGCGTCGGAAACTCCAACTTCACACCGCTACGCCTCTCCGCGGCTTGGGCAGCCCGTGCGGCAGCAGCACGTGGTGCACGAGCGAGCCTGCCCTCGCCATAGGCCTTTCAAAGTCTCAAGGGTTGGGGACCAGGAGCTCTGAGTCTAAGAAATTAGGGTCAAGAGAAGGTTCAAACATTTCCGGTCTAAGGGGCTTCCAAGGGTTTGAGGCTTGGAGCTTTAGGCTCCACTGTCTTCTGGGTTTGGGAGTTCCGGGGTTACAAGGCTTGCGGCTGAAGAGGTATCTCAAGAAGACTCATTCTGCTGTTGGGACCTGCTTACTTTCCTGCAAGTAGCAGGCACCCTGAATCAAAGAGTTTGTGACGACTACCCAGCCGGTTTGTGCAGCAGGCGAGCCCCAAAAGATTCCCCCCTGCATTCGGAGTGTGGCGTGGCATAGCTTCAGCATCGGCCACCTGCATCTCTGGCGGAGCCTGTACCCTGACTCCTTGCCCACTGGCATAGCGTTGACTTAGCAAGAACTGCAAGCCACACCTTTGGACTGGAAGATCACAAACACGGTTCTGAATGGCGAGGGGACATGTCTGCAATGGCCTCATAGCAAGCAAATATTGGATTGGTGGCGAATGCACACGACATAAGTCTGCATGTATTCTACACAAATTGGAACCTCAAACTTCCAATGTCCCAGCTTCGTGAATTGCTTATGTACTACATTCCCATGTCATCCTGCAACTCAAATCCAATGAGGAGAGGTGTTAAGTACCTTTGTCCAGCCCAAAACCCTAGAGCCCAACCAACAAAAAAGCCTAGACTTGAAGAATGCTGAGCCTGCAGATTTCTGGTGTCCGATGGCATGTTCCGGCAATCTCCAGCCGGAATCCGGCGCAAACCCACCGCAAACGTTCCAAGTATGGTGTAAATACGGATCGGATTTGCGGCTTAGGGGCGAGGGCGAAGATTTCGTCTGGAGGTGCGGGCGTTTCGGGGCCAAAGGTCCGGGGATCAAATGATTCATAGTTGAGCGAAGACAAACTGGCAAGGCAACAAACCTCCTGCGAAAAAGGTCACATTGGCAGCGTTGTTTCTGGCATTGATGCCATTGAGGCCAGTATCTATCTACATCTTGCTTACATATCTTGCATTCATGTTTGCTGCGATTCCAGGTATCGTTGCCCTCCCACGCAATGCATCTGTCGTCCGCACGGCGTTTGTTTGATGCTGCTGCAGGTGGTGAGCCTTAGCAGAGGGCCTTTAACCGGCTTGCCAGTTGCATGGCAATGCATTCCTACCAGAAATGCGAGTCGCTACAACCATCCTACTCGCGTATGTGCGACATTCGTCAGGCCTGGAGGGCTTCGAGCTCCGGCAGTCGCTTCGGGTTGCGAGCAGCCTTGCCCGCCTCGAAGGCATTGGGGACAGGCTCAGGCCTTGGGGTTTGAGCATTTGTATAGAGTTTGAGATTTAGAGCTTTGGATTTGGGCTTTCAGTTTTGGCGCTCAGTATATGTGATTTCGGGTTTTGGGATTTGGTGTTTTTTGGCCGAGAGGTACTGTTTTGAATTAATGTTTGGGATCTAGATTTTGGATTCAGGATTTTGTGGTTTAGTTCTACAGTGCTAAGGATTAAGGAGTTTAAGGTTTGGAGTTTTGGATCAGACTCGCAGGTAGGGCTGCAGGACCTGAATCTCAAGTAGTCCAGATTCTGTGAACATTGCACGTTTTACAATTGAGCCTCTATTGACCACGACATGACAGGTATATTGATTGACCTGACCCGATGGGGTCACAATTTACAATTTGTCAAGCCTCTGGAGTTTCTGCTTCTCCTGGTGTGGCCTAGAACCACATTAAGTCCCAGACAAGATCGCCCTAAACTGTCCCACAAGAAAGTGATAGGAACCTGGGGCATGCTTCTCTGCAAGTCTCCAAGGCAGAACAAAACAGCGCTAAATGCATGACACATCGAGGTTCCTTGTTCCAGTGTGATAGATAGTATATGCAAAAATTGAAGCCACCTTTGGGAGGCCTTTGGGTTGAGAGCAAAGCTACTACCCAAAATCCTATCCCGCCATCATTGGGAACTGCAGTATGAAGCTTTGCACCCAAAAACGACACCCTTTTGAGGAGTCCCTATAAGCAGATATCATAATCTCTAGACCGTGGAGGCCCCAGCTTGAAAAATGCTGTTTGGTAGTCTCTCAATATACAAGAGCACTCTTCTTGACTCTTTAATTCATGATTTGGAGTCCCCTGAAGGATTCTATAAGTATAATTTCCAGAAACTCCCTCATTACCGTTCCTCGACCCTCTTCTCTTCACCAGCCCACAGCCTCCAGGGCAATGCGGAAGATGAGTCCGAGCCGCTTGCCTTACCAATGAAAGGAAGGCAGGGGTTGTAGGAAGAATTCTGAGAGACTCTGTACAGTGAGGGCTACTATCAAGATCCATTCCTCCACCCCACACAAACCACGATCAAGTTTCCGCAGGGCGGGGGCCCGTCGCCATCCAACTGGGTCACTGCCTCTCAAAACGAAGAACGATGGGCTTAGGCCTTGTAATTCAGGGCTCTGGGTTGGCCTTGGGTTCCAGGTTCGCAGTTCCAAGGGCATTGGGTTTAGCATGGTTTAACATTTCAGGCTTTCGCGTAAGGGATTGGGCATCGAAGCTTTGCAGGTTGGAGTCCATCCAAGCATAAAGCATCTAAAACCTTTCAAGGTCGGCACTTCTCTTAAAGCTTTTCTGCTGCAAGTCTTCAGGCTTTTGCTTTATTTTTTGAAACCTCATGGTGCCGACTTGTGTCATGCCAAGGTGATACCTAGAAAAAAAGTACTAGAAGAGTCTACATCATTTTGAGCTTTTGTTCACGTGTTCTGTTGTATTCATGTCGGGTCTGTTTGCTGAAAGGTAGAAGCGATTCTATGACAGAACTCGATTTTTGTGAGGTTTCCTGTAAAGAGTGAATCCTGATCGTATTCGGTGTGTTATTGTTGCATGGCCGTCATCTGTGCTTCAAAACCAGCAGCAGGCTCAATTTGCAAGAAAAAGCAACAAAAAGAGAAGCTACCAGATGGACCTACTGCTGGAGAAATTTCAGGTACCTACATCCCAGCCACATTAAGGTTACTAAGCGCTGAACCCTAAAACCAAACTCCAAAACCAAATGCCCTGAGCCAACTGCCCAAAAGGCGGAAAGGCACCTCCAGCGTCCTCTTCAGTTGGAGCATGATGTGGGCATCGCGGGCGGAGCAAGGGTTGAAGGCGTCCTTTGCCACAGAGCTTAAGGGTTTTGACGGCTGCCGTGCGCTTAGCAGTAGCTTAAAATGACCTTTAAACAGGCCGCTTGGGCACGTGGGGGCAAACGCTTTAAGAGTCTAAGGTTTTGAGCTTCGGCTAGGCAGTTAAGGTGGACGTCCTATTCCAACTGCAATGTTTAGCGGACTTTTCCATCTTTGACATTGTTTGATAACGCACTTTTCCTTTGGGGGAATATCTCTCCAGAAAGAAGAACTGAATCCGGATCTGGCATGGGAAGCAGTTCCGTGGGGCGGCGGAGGGTTGATGAAACATAGGGAGGCTTTCTGGTGGTATATGGGGATTATAGAGAGATTAGTTTCGATGGACGGTAAAGACGGTATGCTATGCATGGAATTCAGTTGTGGAACGACTAAATTTGGTTGAGATCCTTCTAAGTCACCCCGATTCGAGTCTGTAGAACAATATCATTTTCAGCAGTTCATCCGATGTCCAGCAGCTAGAGCCTCCTTGTCCGCACCGATTCAAAAAGCCCTTGGCCCTCACACCTCAAACAACCGGCCCCTGCAACACCTAAAGAAATGACATTGGCAGCAGTTTACGCCCTTGCCTTTGCACCTCAAAGCGCAAACCTTAAAGGTTTCTAAGCAGCCCCTCCAGGCTACAAACACCCAGACAGAACCTGCTTAACAACCCTCCTAGACCCCCATTACGCATTGCTGGCATAGCCCAGATTGCACTTGAGGCAGGCAGAAAACTGATGGTACTCAGCCTTCAACCCGACCACGCCAGGACTCCCACCAACATGCAACTCTAATCCGAACGCTAGACCCCAGAACACTGTAAACCCTGAGCCTTGCACGCCAAATCCTTCGCCCTAAGCTGTGTGAGCGCCCGAGGGTCTTTCTCCCGGCCCTCCAACCCCGTAGCCACGGCCGCGCAATAGGCGGCCACGGGCTCCGCGCCGGACCGCACCTTGCCCATTGGAGGTTTCCAGAAGGTAGACGGTTTTGGGGGTTCCGGACCAGAGAAAAGGAGTCCCTTGTTTTGGGGTACCCATTTTGAGACGGGAGTGAGGATTCGCGTTTAGGGTATGGAGTTCAAGCGTTACAAACGGAGCCTTTTCAACGGGCTCAAGGTTGAGGGGTTGGGGTCTTAGTAGCTCAGGGTGTGCGGGTAGGGCTGAGGTCGTAGGTTTATTGATTTTTGGGTTCTGGGGCTTTGGTTCACATTGGTTTGTGCAGTTGAGCTGAGGGTTGCTTGATGGCCAGCTGCAAGGACTGTACAGGAAAATCTGGAAAGCGATGGGACGTTGCAATAGGAGGCGTTCTTGGTTCTTGGCAGGATTCTCCACCTTTCAACTTACGTTAGGCTTGTGGGTTTGAAGCTTGGGCGTGAACATTGAAAATTCATGCAGGTTCGATGACCCCAAAAAGACTGCAGAACCCCGCCCAATTTGGATATGCTTTCCGTCCGTCTGATACTAAATTTTGGTTGGTCAGTCGTAGGCATTCAGGAACATGGTCTATCTTCGTTTAAGTTTTAAGCCAATCTCGCACTTGTACTGCACTATAGCTAAGAATCTACGTATGCCTTGACCGCTCATATGATAAGCAAAATGTCTTCATGCGGACCCCAGTAGGACCTGTAAAGATGGTCGAGAGCGATAGGGGCCTGGGGTTCGGACAACCACATATCAACCTAAACCTTCGAAATCCTTTCAGAGGCCTGCATGGTCCCCTTTCTTCCCGAAATCATAAGCCCGAAAAACCGGGTGTCACCTCAAAGGCCTTTTGTAGCTCATGCATGTCCTGCTCTGCGCCGTCATACTCCACAGAACCTGGAGATCTAGTCATTCATAAAAATGTTGAGTAGATGAGCAGAGCAAGGTGTGATCACAAGGTGAACGTGGCACAGGGTAGGTAGCTTCAGGGGTCTTAGGCTGTTTGGGGGCTGAGTGGTCCATCGGGCTCTAGAATGGCATCTACAAGCAGTCTTTGTAATGAATCTATACAGCTGCCAGATAGGTCTTACAGGTGGGCACGGGTCTGCAGGAATTCTCTGGAGGACGCCAGGAAAAAATCGGAGAAAGGATACACTTGGACTGACTATCAAGGATTAGTTTCTACGAAAGTTACAGTAAGTGCCCCGAGTGCCCC